GAGTCTGCTGGGCACACACAGAGAGGAGAGGTGTGGGTCTTTGTGGCCCCAGACCTGGCATGTCGTGGATGCTTTCCTGATGTTTCCTAGTGAAGCAGGTGACCTCGAGGAAGATCAAAGCTGAAAGCATGTGATGCTGCCTCATCTTACTGTGTCCCTGTGCTTGCTGTGTGCACCAGACTATGAGATGGTTCATTTTTAGGTCTTTTAAAGGGTACTAGGATGGAACTCACTCAGCCATATCTCAGCCCCTGGGTGACTCCCATTTTAAGTCAGAGACAGTGGTTTACAGTTTAAAAAACCACAGAGTAGGGGCTGGAGAGGGTTCAGTGTTAGGAGTACTTACTGTTCTGTGGAAGACCTGAGTTTGGTTCCTAACACTCACCCATATTCACCTGTCACTCCAATTCTGGGGCATCCAATGCCCTCTTGTGGCTTTGGACACCTGCACTATGTGAGTATATATACAGAGAGACATATAGCCATATAAATAAAATGAGCCTTTCAAAAACCTACAAAACACGTGTTCCTGGAAATATGCCTCTGCCTTCTTTAAGCAGCCTAGTGAAAACCCGAGTGGGTTGTGAGAAATGAAGCTCATCCAGTTGTCCCTCAGCCCACATGTAGAGCACAGCCAGCGCCTGCATGTCCCAGTGCCTCCTGGTCTCCCGTCTGCTCCCTGCTAGGTGAAGCCTTGGTGAATGGCAACTGAGTCTGTATCTCTGATGGGCATAACCTGGTCTACTTCTTGCATCCTGGAACGAGGAGCTTGGCTTTGCTCTTTGTCCAGGTGGAGCCGTGCTGTGTGCTGTGTGCTGATGTGTACTGTGTGCTGATGTGTGCTGGGCGCTGATGTGTGCTGGGCGCTGATGTGTGCTGGGCGCTGTGTGCTGATGTGTGCTGTGTGCTGATGTGTGCTGTGTGCTGATGTGTGCTGTGCGCTGTGTGCTGATGTGTGCTGTGTGCTATGCGCTGTGTGCTGATGTGTGCTGTGTGCTGTGTGCTGATGTGTGCTGTGCGCTGTGTGCTGTGTGCTGTATGCTGTGTGCTGATTGATGTGTGCTGTGTGCTCTGTGCTGTGCGCTGTGTGCTGATGTGTGCTGTGTGCTGATGTGTGCTGTGCGCTGATGTGTGCTGTGCACTGTGTGCTGTGCTGATATGCTTTGTCTTGGTGTGCGTGTTTGTTGTTTCAGCCCATGGTTTTGGGGTGTAGTGTATTCCTTGCACTTCCATGGTGGTCTGGAACAGCAGCAGATGTGGCTCATGGGCTCCCCAGAGCTGGAAATCTTCCTGAGAACTAGCTTTTGTTCTTATTTGTTTGTCCATTTTCCTTGTCTTCTTTGTGCCCTTCCTCCCTGCCTCCCTTTAATTTTTGAGATGGGCTCTCTCTCACTGTGTTGCCATTTTGCCTCAATTGCTGGGCTCAAGGGGTCCTTCCTTGCCCAGGCCTGGCAGGCAGCTATGGCTGCAGACACTGTAGTCTATAAAGCTTACGCCCATTGTTTCCTTTTCTGTGTCTTACTGCTACTGCTTCTCCCGCCTTCTCCTCCTCCTCCTCTTCCTTTCTTTCTTCTTTCTTCCTTTTTCTCAAAAGTTTGACTTTTGAGATAGGGCCTCTCTTTGTAGCCTTCCTTGCCTTGGCCTCAATCCTCCTGCCTCAGCTTTTCTAGTGCTGGTATTGCTGGCCTTTCCCATACCCAGTTGCCTATGGTTTCCTTTAACTAATTAATGATTTAAATAGCAAGTTATTACATCTGCTTTAAATTTATATGAATAAATTTTAAAAATTTGTTTTAAAATGTTTTACTGACATTGGCAACATTTGAAAAAAACCCGAGCCTCAGGTATAACTTCACTGCTTTAAACCATGAAAAATGCAGATGAGTTATCTTAGCACTGGCTGTGGTTTGCAGTTTCTGATGAGGGGGTTGCCCATCTGTTGATGGGAGCTAGGTGAAGAGAACTTTCTCCATCCTTCACCAGAACAAAAGGGCAAGGCATCCACTCTCTTCAGAAAGGAGGCCTGCCTGTTCGTCTCCCTGCCCTGTGCCTTTGAATGCTGGTGAGGTTGGCAGCGGGGGTGGGGAGGAAACCATAAGCTGACCAGAAATGAAAAGCCAGGAGTCTGTGCTATTTCCTTGATGTGATGAAGGTCCCTGTCAGGAGTTCAGAAACCTGAGCCAGCAGATGAAACCCGTCATTTATGTCATTTCTGCCAGAGATAGCACCACTCAGCCTTTCTCCTCACGAACAGCAGGTCTCATTGTCCGTCACCCACACCCTGCCAGCTTGTCAGCACAGAGCGGCGGCTAACAAATAGAGGCGCCAGTGAGCGGTGGGCAGCCTCTGCCCTCCAGCAGGAATTTTGGGATGCAGTCAAGGCAGCTGCTCTCTGGGGATGTGTGAGATTTGCTGTTAGCTCACTCAGAAGGACAGTTCCTGGGTTGTCACAATCTTCTGATGCATTTTGTTCAAAGTTTTCTGTTCTCAATACCCAGGAGCTGAGAATTTTGTAAATAAAGCGGCAGTGTACCCCCTGCTTGGGGCTCTTCCAAAGCTTCCATTTGCAGGCTATCAGGTGGATGGTGGGAGAGCAAAGCTCTTCTCAGCTGGACTGTTAGAGTGTCTGTCCTGATTAGGTTTCTGGGGAAAGCTGGCACTGAGCCCGTAAGGTAATGGCTGCATTTGAGATGGGGAGGTGATAGAGAGCACTTCACACCTTGCCAGTGTGGCATTGGGACATTTCCATATCAGAGCAGGTAGCTGAGTGGTAGGGATTGGCATTCTGTGATCAGGAGCAGTCATCGTGCCCACTCTTGTGAAAAGAGTGGGCATTGTTTACTCTCTGCATTAGGGCTCTGCTGAGCTTAACTTTAGGATCCTCTGTAGAGCTTAAACTACTGATGATGGCCCCAGCCCCTGACGTTTGGAGCAGATGGTTTTGGGGTACAGATGGGCTGAGGGATGGCAGTGCCCCTTAAATGGGTCTGGAGGTGAGAGCCATGAGCACAGAGCCAGCAGAGGAGCCGAGCCATGTCCTCTCCAGTGTTTGTGCTCTCCCTCACCAGGCCTCACAGCCGTACTCACTTATACTCTACCTTTTAAATTGACTTCGTCATTTTGAGCAAATGTGCAAAAAATGCACAAAACATCCATGTTCTCAAAACTCTTAAGACCAGCCATTATAAAAACAGTGATGCTGCCAGAAGCCCACAGTGTCCTTTGTGTTCTCTTGTTACTGTCCCTTTCCACATGAGGACATTAGGGATGGTCTTGATTTCTCACATTGTAGTGGTCACGCCTGCTTTTGAACTTCACATTTATTTCCTTGTGTGCTAATGGTGCCTTTCCCAGTGTTCTCTGTGTAAGATTCATCCACACTGCTGCAAGTAACTATGAGCCTCCCGCTGCTGGGTGGTTTCCCTTGTGGAGCATACCATGACTTCATTTCACTTCCACTGTTGAAGAGACTGGCAGGAGTAAGTGATGCTGCTATGACCATTGTTACCTTTGCTACTTAGTTGTGGCTGTCCCCATTCATACTAAGGATGAGAGACTGTAGCAGATCACACCATGCTGTTTATATTCCCACCAGCAGAATGCAGACCTTAAAAGAGCTTTTCAGAACTGAATTCTTTTTTTTTTTTTTTAAAGATTTATTTATTTATTATGTATACAGCATGTATGACTGAAGGCCAGAAGAGGGCACCAGGTCTGATTACGGATGGTTGTGAGCCACCATGTGGTTGCTGGGAATTGAACTCAGGACCTCTTGGAAGAGCAGTCAGTGCTCTTAACCTCTGAGCCATCTCTCCAGCCCCAGAACTGAATTCTTGTTATCACATGCCATTCTAATGTTAGTATTCTGGATGGAGTTTGGGGATTAGTGATGATTTTTTCTCTTTAACTTTACCATGGAAAATACAAGTCATCAAGTTCTCCCGTCACCAGCTTCAGCTCACAATTGGATTGGCATAAGGCTTCATTGGTCCCCTTCAAGATTATTTTGAAGCAAATTGCAGATCTGTTAATTTTTTTTTTATATTTGTATATGTGTGTGTGTGTGTGTGTGTGTGTTTGTGTTTGCATGCGTGTGCACATGAACACACTCCTGAGTGCTTAGAAGTATGTTTACATATGCACACACCATGGCACATGTGTACTCATCAGAAGTATGATGATCCTTTCTTTTCAATATTTGAGTTCCAGGGATACAACTCAGGTTGTGAGGCTTGGTGGCAAGTTCCTTTCCCTGGTGGACCATCTTGCCTGTCTGGTTTTTTATTCATAAAATTTTAAACTACATATATTTCAAAACATATTTTCATATGTCTTTCAAAAACAAGAACTTAAAAAATAATCACAAGTGCTAGAGAAATGGCTCAGTTAAGAATGCTTGCTTGGGTTGGAGCTGCTGCTCTTCCAGAGGTCCTGAGTTCAATTCCCAGCAACCACATGGTGGCTCACAACCATCTGTAATGAGATTTGGCGTCCTCTTCTGGTGTGCTGGCATGCATGCACACAGAACACTGTATACATAATAAATAAATTAATCTTAAAGAATGCTTGCTTTTCAGCCAGTCAGTGGTGGTTGCACACCTTTAATCCCAGCACTTGGGAAGGCAGAGGCAGGTGGGTCTCTGTGAGTTTGAGGCCAGCCTGGTCTACAAAGTGAGTTCCAGGACATTGTTATACAGAAAAACCCTGTCTTGAAGAAGAAAAAAAAAAAAAAAAAAAAAAAAGTGGGGGAGGCTTGCTTCTCAATCATGAAGACCAGAGTTCAAATCCCAGCATTCATGTCCAGTGGCTCACAATCACCTATAACTCCATCTCCAAGAGATCAGATGCCTTCTTCTGGCTTCCCTGGGGACTCACATGCATGTGCATACACACACACACACACACACACACACACACACACACGTTAAATCACAATACCATTGTAACACCTATAAAAATGATTAGTAATCCCTCAATATTGTCAGATTCCCAACACTCAGATTCTTGTCTGGGAAGTGCTGTGTGTTGACATTCGATGCCTGCACCAGGGTACAGATGAGCTTTCTGTAAGAGATCGGTTGAAACACATCTTAAATTTCTCTAGGGTTTCCTCTGGGCAAATACAGGTTAGATGGAGACGAGGCTCTTTGGTGAGCACGTGCTTACTGGAATAGCTCTAGCACTGGTGTGGAGAGACACAGGCCTAGGTCTGTCAAGAGGGAGGCAAAGTGCTGGCTTGGCTTCCTGGGGCTGGCTTCATGTGTATGCAGTGGAGCTGAGCACGAGCCCTGGGAGTGTCGCAGTCAAGTGGAGTGTGGCTCAGAGAGGTTGCTATGCTTCTCTGCTGAGCAGGAGGGCTATGGAGTAGGTGAAGAGGTCAAACCCTGCGAGCACATGGCAGGGTTCAGGGTCATCTACAATTGCTACAGGATCCTTTGCTTAGGTATAGGAGTCATAGATGGATAGCAGGTCATTCTGTTGTTTTTAGGGGAATGAGATGTGGAGGCCCACAGAGGTTTCCTAGTGAGATCTGAGCTTGCTTTACCCAGCAGGGCTGCATTAGAGGATTGCTTGACCATGTGCGTGGTTCTAGGTGATTGGAAGGGTCTGCACTTGGCTGTGCTAGGGGAGGTCTTTTGCTCTACCCCTTGGCATTCCTATAAATAGCTCTTTAAAAGAGACAGAAGGGACCGGTGGATAATGATCCAGGCCTTCCTGAGCTGTTCTGTGTTTCTGTTTCTCTCCCCTCTATCTATCTACATATTTCTCACCCCTCCCTCCTCAAGAGTACCCTGGGGAAGAAGTGGGAGCGGGCCTTCCACAGAGAAATGGGTAGAATCCCATGGGTTCAGATGGTTATCAGCTCAAAACAGATTTCACTCCTTGGAAATGCATATCTGAGGGTCAGTGTTGGGAAAGATAGCTATCTAGTTCTGGGCTAGAATCTAGAAAGACCCTTTAAAAATCGAGATCAAGGATTGGTAGGATAGTCCAGTGGTTAAACATACATGTGTGATTACCTTCATTCAGCTCCCAGAATCCACATGGTAGAAAGGGAGAAATGACTCTGCCAACTCACCCTCTGACCTCTATGCACACACTCCTGTACCTACACACATGCATGCACAAACAAAATAAATACATACTTAAAAAAATTGTAAATTGAAATCAGGGACTAGGGAGATGGCTCAATCACATGCTCTTGCAGAAGACCTGAGTTTTGTTCCCTGCACTTATGCAGGTTGACTCAGAACTGCCTGTGACCCCTGTTCCAGGGGATCTAGTGCTCTTTTTTGGCCTGTGCAGGCACCTGCACTCACTCACATGCAGACATCCTCACATACATACACATAACTAAAATAAAACAAAAGTCCCAAGGGTTAAGCAATCAGAGCTCTCTTCTACACTTCACAGCACCTCCGTTTGCATTTGTCTTTTTACTGCTTCTCTGTCCACAGTGACATTCTTCCACTTAGGCTATTAAAGTTGATTTGTCATGGATGTTTGGGGCTAAGAGTTTTAGGGTGTAGGTGTGTGAGAAAAAGTTAGCATCTGAAAGATGGTGCAACCTCTCATGAACATTTTGCCATCTCTTCCAGGGCTTCGGATAAAGGAGACCAAGGAGGTTTATGAAGGGGAGGTGACAGAGCTCACTCCATGTGAGACAGAGAACCCCATGGGTGGTTATGGCAAAACTATCAGCCATGTGATCATAGGGCTCAAGACTGCCAAAGGAACCAAACAGCTGAAGGTGAGTCTGTGGGGCACTTACTTGGACTTCCCAGTGTTGTGTGGCTCTGGAAGATGGTACAACCTCTGCCTGGGTTCTGTGCAAAGTGGGGCTGCACAGGTCACGGTGAGGCTGTTAAATGGTGGTACAGGGTCTGGCCCTTGAAAGCTCAGTGGCTGTAGCTGCTACTCTCTTCCTCCTAGAAAAGCACACATGTGCATTAGAATGAGCTGGTAGGTAAGTGAGGAGCCTGCCTCTGCCATGCCATATTCCACTGATACTTCATATCCAAGGCCTAGCCCTCTGATGCACACAGAAAGCAGCACCTCGAGGGCCTGACTGAGTTGCAGGCAGACAGCTCAGTGGACTGCAGGGCCCTGACAGCTGCTCCTGACAGGCTTCCATGGGTTGGAGCTTGAGGCTGCAGTATACTGAGTGGGACTTGGTGTCTGGCCCCAGAGAATTATCCTGTCATCCTTTGGGACACAAGCCAGGATGCTTGAGAGCAGAGCATAGACTTTAAAGTCAAAAGGGAATCTTTAGCTTTGTTTACCTTTTGTTTTAACTTTTAGCTTTGTTTCTTCCATTACAGGCAAGTGATGTGGTCTCTGAGCAGCTCTCTGTCTGTGCTAATTGCTTATCTCATACAGTCCTGGGGATCAAACTTGTAGTTTTAGATCCGCAGTGAGAGGTGGATATTCATGTCTGTCATAGCTCTGCATTAGTTATTGCCACAATGACTAGTAAACGTCATTACACCCTCCTTGAGTGTGTGTTTGGCCTAGAGCTGACAGCTTCAACAGATGCTTCACATGCTGTCAGTTCATGTGTGTAGACATACCAAAGCTCCCTTGTGTAAGGTAAATGGGCAGCTGCCCATAGAAGTCAGGCAGCCTGCACGAGCCCATCCAGGGTGCATGGCAGGGCTAGCTCTGATCTCAGCATTATGTATCTGCCTTGCAGCTTGTTGTACAACCTCAGGAAGTCACTTGGGCTCTCTGGATCCAGCTTCTCATCTAAGCTGCTAGACCAACTGGGTAATTTCTGTCTTTACTCCACTCTGATTTTTCTGGTTCTGTGATTCTGTGTTTTTTGGTCACTGTTTTATGGAGATCATAAAAATGTCATTTCTTCAAAGAGCTGTTTCTCCTTTTCCTAACAGGGTTCTTCATCCCAAGAGCTTGGCTTGGCAGATCTCTCTGTTGAATGCAATGCTCAGGCTTCATTTTGTACTCATGAGGTTTCCTAGTAGGAGGCAGCACCTTTTCAGTAATCACAACTTCAGCCAGTTCATTTGGGAAATTAACCAGTATAAAAACACTGGAGAGGAAGACACACACACACACACACACACACACACACACATACACACACACACACACACGGTATGTCTTTGAGTGTATCTTATACTAAAAGGCCTGCAACTTAAATTTGACTTGTCTATAAGGCGACTTTGACAGTTTATTTGAGGAAAATAAGGGGAAAGTTAAAAAAAAATTTCAAATGTACTTCTATATCCCAGAGCAAATGTCGATATTGGCTAGAAGAACCTGGTACTTGATGGGTGGTCTAGTGTACAAGGCACATCTGAGTTTGAACAAGGAGTACCCGTTTAGTCTTCTACTAGGCCTGCCTTGTGCACTTGGTACTCATTGTCCTGCTACAACAGTACCCAGCTGGCCATCCATCTCCACTGAGCAGCAAGGTAGAGCCCTGGCTTTGCAGGTGAGGTAATAGTGTTCTGGGGCTCCATTGATGTCAAATTTAAAATATAGTTCACTACTTTTAATATGCAGCTTTAGAGATTTTAATACACAGTCACACAGCCATCACCACAGTCTAATTTTAGACTTGAAGAAACCTCAAGCCACTGATGGTCCCTCCCAGCCTGATTCTTAGCCCTGGACAGCCGCCAAACTACTCTCTGTCTCTATGGGTCTACCTGTTGGGGACATTTCATAGAGATGGAGCCATAGAATGTGTTTTTCCTGTTTGACTTCTACGCAGTGCTGAGTTTGTACTCTTTAATTTTGTTCAAAATAGAGCTCCAGTTTCCCCCACTGCAACCACATATGTGATATCTCTGAAGTTTAGCCTGGAGAGATGTGTCTAAAAGATGCTGTCCTAGAATGTCAGTAGCCAGGGACATGGGTCTGGGGAGCCCAGGGAAGCAGCAGGCCTGTGCTCCTTGGCAGTCTGCCTGTGCCCACAGGCAGGCCCTGAGCACTGGTATTTGACTCAGAACCTGGGAGGGCCCTTACTTATGTCTCGTTTTGAATTTTATGCATCTGTGATTGTCTCTTGGTGCTGTTTAGTAGATGAGGCTCTAGAATCATGAGCCTGGCAGAACGCTAGCCTGGTAAGCAAGTACTGGAAAGTTCTGTTAGGAAGGTCCAGTGCTTTCTGAGGTAGGGGAGGTTTAAGAACTCCCTCCTCACTCCTTTATGGCCTCTGAAGCTAAGGAAGGTGAAGAGTCTCCGGGTACCCTGTGGCTGGCTTCTGGGCCCGCTTGCCTCCTCCTCTCCTGGACCAGTCATCCTCATCCCACTCTGATGTGCTCTTGCTTTCATGGCCCCCGCTGATGGATGGATGCTCCGTGCAGTTGCCGGCCCTCTCCACATCCCGTGGAGAGGCACCTCACAGCATGCTAGAAGGAAGTCAGATATGCATTGCAGTTCTCTGAGTCACCCTTGTTTTTTTCAGCTGGACCCCAGTATTTTCGAAAGTTTGCAGAAAGAGCGAGTGGAGGCTGGGGATGTGATTTACATTGAAGCCAACAGTGGGGCTGTGAAGGTAATGTCCTTCCTTCTTGGGACAGAGCACTGTGCCTGGTTTGTGTGTCACGGAAGAGGAGCCGGGTGCCGGAGGAGGGTGGGCGCTGCCTGGTGCCGTGCCAGGGGAAGGACAGTTGTCCCTCTGCGCATTATAAAGTTTCTTTTCCTTTATCTTCATTCTTTAACCTTCTCATGATGAAAACAGTCTGTTAGAAATACTAAGACCTGTTTAGAGGGGGAGTACAGGGTGAGAGACCAAAACAACTTTAGTCATTTTCAAATTGAAATGTGCAGTGTATTTAATCTTCCTTTATCTCTCTGGTATTTTCTTCCCAAGATATATGCATGTGGGAAGGAATGCAGCATTAGCTGGCATTCTTTTCATATCTGATTCCCAGTGTCCTGTACAGGGTTGCTCACTGTTTAATGGATGAGCATAATACTTGATATCATGCAGTAAATCACCCACCTACAAAAGAGTCTGAGCAGCTCCCTCTGTCTCCAGTTAATCTACTGGATTTGCCCTTTATCAGGAATTGCATACAGTTTCGGGTATTGGGGGGACTCTGGAGAAAGTATCGGGTGTCTCCAGCCTGCCGATAGCTTCCTTCTCTTGGCAGAGGGCAGTGGGCACACTGAGGTCGGGCACATTGGGAGATTGTCAGGGAGGCTGTCCTTGCTAGGCTGCATTTGGGAACCAAGGCCTTTGTCTCATTGGGCACTCTGCCATTTGAGGCCTGGGCAGTGAAAACTCACACAGCATTCATGTTTCTCTGTCTACAGAGGCAAGGCAGGTGTGACACCTATGCCACTGAGTTTGACCTTGAAGCTGAAGAATATGTCCCTTTGCCAAAGGGAGATGTGCACAAGAAGAAGGAAATCATACAGGATGTGACCTTGCATGACCTGGATGTGGCCAATGCACGGCCTCAGGTACTGCTGTGCCGCTATGGGCAGCACACTTGCCTTTTGTCTCTTTGTGAAGCTCTGGGGATGAATCGGCAAGATCTTGCTGCCACTTTGGAGGCAGACGCTCCTTTTTGTCTGTGATGTTTAGCAATTAACATGGGCATGAGCTACGCGGGACTCCTTTGTTCCCATTCTAGTGCAGCAGTCACAGATGATTTCCTGGGCTATTTCTTCTCCCAGCCAAGCCTCCCGCCCTGAACTAGCCAGCTTCCTCTCTGGCTTCTGTCCAGCCATGGCTCGTGCCTGGATGCTCTGAGTATTACTGGCAGGAAGGCACAAGTGCTCTGTGAGCCCACACAGGGTTTCTGAAAGCCTAGCACAACTCTGACCTTCCCTCCACTTAGCAGGGCTCAGCACCTTTAGCTTTGAGTTGGAGCCAAGTCTGTAGCTCTGGAGGGACAGTGGATACTTCTTACACCTTGACTGGTAACTGTAGGAAAGGATGCATCCCATAACCACGTCTCTGAGAAACAGGATTCAGAGAACCAAAGTACACGTGTTCCTTGCTGGTGGCCTTTCAGGTTGCATTCATCTTCCCTAAGCCACCTCTTCAGCAGGAGAGGGGTCCCTTGAGGGTTTGCTCAAGAGATTGTTGACACTGATCTTCGACCAGCAGGTGCCTTCAGGAGGTAGATGTCTGTTTCCAAACTGACCTCAGAAGCCTCTGCTTTAGGCGGAGTGTGGGGTCAGGAGCAAGTCAGCACTGTGTAAGAGCCTGGGTGTCAACAGAGCAGCTCCTTAGGAAGGAGGGGCCTTCCTTGAAGATGGTATAGACTGTACCAAGCTTTGAGTCATAGAAGAGCTTGTGTCCAAGGGAGAGTTTGTGGTCTTTTGTGGCTAATCCATAAAGTTTAAAGAGATAATGGTGAGCAGAGGAGGCCACTCTGCCCGCTATACTCTCAGTGGAAAGAATTTGTCTGATTCCTACAGGTCTAGAGCCTATGAAAGTTCCTCTGTGTTTAGAAGGTTATCAAGGGAGCCAGCATGGTAGCACGGGTCTTAATCCCAGCACTTGGGAGTCAGAGGCAGGGATCTCTGAGTTCAAGGCCAGCCTGGTTTACAGAGCAAGTTCCGAGACAGCCAGGGCTACAGAGAAACCTGTGTCAAAAAACAAAACAAAAACCATACATACATACATACATACATACATACATACATACATACATACATACACACATACATACATACATGAAAATAAAAGCTTATTAAGCTTTCCAGGGGACTTGTGTAGGGATCTCAAGTGAGTTGGCATTGGAGACCTATATGAAGCAGGAGAATAAAGTTTTGGCAGCCTCCTTAGACAGCCTGGCTGACTAAGTCTTCTCTTCTCCAGGGGGGACAAGATATCCTGTCCATGATGGGCCAGTTGATGAAACCGAAGAAGACAGAGATCACAGGTAAGAGCCAGCCCAGTGCCTTCAGCGGCATCAGGACCCTGTGGCCCTCTGTGTACCTCTAAGCAAAGTATGTGTGGGATGGTGTCCTCCCTCCTCTACTCTAAGATCACAGCTTAACCCTGTTGTCTACGCTCTGTCTAGACAGCTCTCGGGCCCCGTGCACCTGTCTGGTCCTGATGAGGTCCTAGGGAAGTTGAGAAGTCGGGCCAAACTCTGCTGCCATGGCAGTGCCCCCTCTCCCGACTGCCTAGGGCTCTGCTCCTATGTGGCCTTTATATCCCTCTTCTCTTCCCACCTCGGTGTCCTCTTTTCCCTAATGACCTGTAGGTTTGTTACCTTAAAATGTGGGTGAAACACTGAAGTCTCTGTGATCTTGGAGGTCTCAGCCAGGGGAGCAGCTGGAGACAGTTCTTCCAGATCCCAAGAGCAGCTGTGTCTGGGTCTTTGCTTGGCTTTGTGGCTGATGTGACAGGGTTTTACTGTATAGTCTGGAATAGCCTTGCACTCTGCACCTCCTGCCTCAGCCTCCCTAGTGTTGGGGCCAGGTGTGTGCTGCACACAGCCACAGCCACAGCCACGGCCTTTTGCCCTGACTTTGTTCTTTACTCTCAGGCAGTCCTTACCTGGTAGATGTGGTGGAAGAGGCAGCAGCTTCTGCAGGGCTTCTGGTTCTGTCTGTGACCTGACCCTGATGGTGTTTTCACGTCTGGGCTGTGACCTGGGGCGGCTCGTATGACTCCGGATAACCTCGTCATCTAGGAGCTAGAAACCATCTTCCTCTCCAGGGAGGGCCGAGACTACACTTGATTGAAGGCTAATTAACCTAAGCATTGTCATATAGGGCCACAAGATGGTCATTTACAGAACACAGAACAGGAAGATTTGCATATGAAAACTCCTGTCATCCTAGGCTCCAAATCTGCTAGTCTCTGAGATGAGGTGGGAGCTGGATCATCAGGTCGGGAGAGTGAGCTAGGAAGGCAGGATGGGGAGTGTGGAGAGGTGATGGTCTTCCTGTGCACAACCCTCTTTGGGTTAGCCAGACAACTTTAGGGAGAGCTGCCAGTTTTGTGGCCTTTAGCTGTGTTTGTTCCTGTTTCAGACGATGTAACTGAAGCTGGAGTGTGGCCTGGGCCTGCTGGGGCCTCACAGCCAGGGAAACGGGCGGCAAGGGTGGGTTTGGATGGAAGTCAGCTCAGAGCGGGAGCTGATTGCTGCTGCTGACCCTGCCCTCCCTCATCTAGATAAACTTCGAGGGGAGATCAACAAGGTGGTGAACAAATACATTGACCAGGGCGTCGCAGAACTCGTTCCCGGAGTACTCTTTGTCGACGAGGTCCACATGCTGGACATCGAGTGCTTTACCTACCTGCACCGAGCTCTGGAATCTTCCATCGCCCCCATTGTCATTTTCGCATCCAACCGAGGCAACTGTGTCATCAGGTAGGGCCCCTCCCGCCTGCCCGGTTTCCCACCTTCCTTCTGAGCAGGTTTCCTGCTTGGACTCAGGATACCCGCAGCACCATGAGGCAGATGGGGGAGAAGCAAGGTTGTGTGTCAGTGTTGTTGTGATGAGGAGTCTTCCCAGTGGTCTTTAGGGCCATTGAGTGTGAAAGTGATGGTCACATAGGGCGGGTCTTCGTTGGGATGTCATGGGTTAGCTGCTGACTTCTTTATATCTCCTGCTGAGTGATACCCGCCTCACTTCAGGTGAGGGAACTGAATGATGTAACTTGGCCTGTTATTCCCATTCCAGACCTTTCTGTGACACAGTGGTACCTTGGTGGCCATCCTTCCTCACGCCCCCTTGAGAGTTGAGTCCTGGATGCTGAGTGTTCATACAGTCTCTCCCCTGTTAGTGCAAGCCCAGAGCTGGGTGGAGGGCTTTTCCAGTCTCCATTTTGTCTTTAGTACTTGGGGTCTGACCTGCAGAGAATGTGCACGCTTTTGTCTGAGGCCCATGTCAGGTTCCTAATATGTAGTTGTAGTGGCCTAGAGGTTTTCTGTGGTCCTTTGGGACATTCGGGGCTGGTCTCTGCAGTGCTGGGATGTAAAGGGCTGCTTTTCAAGCCCACAGCAGTTACATAAGACAGTGCCCTGGGGCTGTGTAGTCCTGACAGTGGGCACTGGAAACTGGAAGAGTCCTATGGCCCATGAGTATTCATGACAGCCAGAGCTACACTGAACCAGAAGCCCAGCTGCTGGCTTGCCACTCCATGATGATGGGCCACATAGAAGAATGTCACTGGCTCTTGCTGGAGAAACTTAGTCTACACTAAGATTGTCCACGCTGGGTGCTGCTGGCTCTGGGGCGGGCTGGTGGGGAGTAGTCTGGTGCTTGCTATGAGCACCAGTGCATTACACAGCAGCCCTCAGTTGTGTCCCTGCCCACTTGTAGTTGGGATATGTATGTGGCTCATTGTGTGGCTGTTTTGGCTCCCTCTGATAGTCTGGATAGTCTTCTGACTATCACAGGTGCCTCCTGCAGGGTTGGAGGAAGCTGTCGTGCCAGGTCCAGGCCAGCTTCTGGAGAGGATCAGGCCCACCTGGGTGGCATCTGGAAGCTACATGTGGGCCCTGGCCCAGAAAGCCTGGCATCCGTGGCTCTGCTGGAGACTTGCTTTTTTTTGCACAGCTTCATCTGGGCTCAGCATAGACATATGATGCCCCCTGCTGGGAGCTCTGCCAACAGAGCTAACCTAGGCCAGTGGGTGCCAACAGAGGCTGGCAGCTCTGGGCCCCAGTTGCCAGGGCTATATCCAGAAGGAAGGAGCTCTTGATCCCAGCCTGCTGTGAGAACCAAACTCTTGCCAGCCATATGAACTCTAAAAGTGGATTTGGTGCTGAGTGCTGGCGGGGATGCTCCATCATGTTGACAGCATCCACAAGAGATGGTGGAACGCCCACATGGAGCACCACACTGCACTGCTGCTCCTGCTAGCTTGGGCAGGCAGGGCCTGAGCTCTCACCAGGTGTGCACATGGCTTGGGTTCGGGTGAAGACTGGACTCCAGAGTACATAGCCTCAGCAAGTTTTGGCTAGAATGCTAAAAGACAGAGTCCAGGAATATCTGCACAATGTGAGCAGCCTGTGGTGAGCTATGCACAGCCTTCTCCCCAGAGAAGCTGCTGAGCTCTTGTACCACAAGCATCTCACCTGACACCCAAGCTCCGAAGGGAAGTCACAGTGTTGAGGGCTTTCTCCTTGTCAGCTTTCTAGTGCTCTCTATATGAGCCACATACAAAGTGATGTCAGGGCACCCTGACACCCAAGGGCAGATGAGGTTACCTCCTAATGGTAGACTACAAGCCAAAAGTGCTGCCACTCAGCTTGCTGGAAAGCCCACATGATGCTTCAACCCAGTGGCTGCTGGGCAGTGAGTAGGCATGAAGTGTTGAGCATGGCATCACATGGAGCTGGCTGTAAGCGGGGTTTCTCTGCAGCTGCTCCCAAATAACCGCACAGAAACTTAAATATAAATATAAATGCTCAGCCTGTGGCTCAGGCTTGTTACTATCTAACTCTTAGAACTTAAATTAGCCCATTAATCTACATTCTGCCACAGGACATCACCTCTCTTTCATCTTGCACCCTCTGCTTCTTCTCTGTGTCTGGCTGGTGACTCCTCTGACTTCTTCCCAATGTCCTTAGTCTGGTTCTCCCGCCTAACCTTATCCTGTTCAGCTATTGGCCAGTCAGCTTCTTTACTAAACCAATCACAGTGACAGTGTACAGGACTGTTATACAGCTGGCATCAGGGAACACTAGCTCTGACACCATTGCTGTGAAAATATAGCCATGACAGTGCCCTTTCCAGAAGTTGCCTTCCATTCATCCTTTGGCTTCTGGCCATCTTACCAGCTCTGTGGCAGTGGCTTCATGGGTTGAGCCTCAGACATGAGCCCACTGCCTGCTGGCCTTGTGTTGTCTAGAGCATAAGTCCTAGCACGAGCCTGGTTCCCTCCCACAAGGGATATATATATCAGGCACATGGAAGCCCATATCTTAAGCAAGTCCCTTGTTTTTCTTGTAAATTACACAGATTAAATGTTGAGTGCAGAGTCTCTAAGCCAGTGGTTCTCAACCTTCCTAATGCTGCGATCCTTTAATACAGTTCCTCTCGTGGTGGTGACCCTAATTGTAAAATTATTTTTGTTGCTACTTTGTAACTGTAATTTTGCTACTGTTATGAATTGTAATATAAATATGTTTTCCAATGGTCTTAGGTGATGACCCACAGGTTGAGAACCATTGCTCTAAGTCATGTGGGCCTGGAGTGGTGTACCATAGGTTGTTCCCTGCTTATCTGTCCCGTGCATGGCTTGGTCTCAGTAACCTGTGGGAGCATGACAGGTCATGTGGTCCTGTCATAAGCCCTCTTGGCCCTGGCAGACTATCCCCAGGTCCTCTGGGTAACGTACATAAGGAAAAGTGTTCACCTGTGGATGCTGGAGGAGGAGGTGCTTACCCCTTTGCTGTTCCAAGGAATCCTTTCCCTTTGGGTCCAGGAGCACCAGCTGTTAGATGAGAGTGGCCAGCACTGGCCCCAGCTCTGCCTGAGGAGGGTCCATTTTCCCATGGAGCCATGTCTTCCTGGGATTTAGGAAGGTCGGTAGGAATTTCTGAAGGTTGGTTACCTTGTTGTGCCAAAGTGTCAAGACTTAGACCAATGTGGTTGACCTGTAACACATGTCCAGAATGATGCTTTACAAAAAGCACTGTATTGATAGACATATCTGGTGCACAATGGAGCATTCAGTAGTTTGTAGTATGTTCACTGTCTCTACAGATTTGCCTTTTTTCATATAAATGGTACTATATGACCTGGCCTCTTGTGGTTGCCATCATTCACTCTGCTTGTTCTCAGGGGTCATCTGTGTTGCTTTTTACACTTTGTAGCAGAACCATATTCCATAGTGTGGAATATTTGATGGCGTATGTCACCTGTCTATTCCTCAGCAGGTAGGCAGGAGTTCTTTTGGCTATGATGAGTAATGCTGCTGTGAACATCTGTGCACATCTTATGTGGATATAGTTGTGACTTCTTTGGGAAGTGTCCCTAGGAGTATGGGTGCTGGATTAGGTAGTAACTGCTCAGCCTTTCAACAATGATGACTTTTTCCAAGTCACTGCCCTCTTTATGCCCCACCAGCATTGGGCAGAGTCCCATGTTTCCATTCTTCCAGTGCTCCCCAGTATTGTCTTTCCAATTAGAGATACCAGTGGGTAGAATGTGCAGCACATTAGTTTGATTTGTTTTTCCTAATGGGTGGTGGGAAGTTGAACATTTTATTTTTATAGTCACTTATAAATCTTTGGAGAAATGCTTAATAATGTTCTGTGTATTTGTTTGTTTTTTGCAACAAGGTCTCATGTGTCCCAACCTGGCCTCAAATTTGTGCTATCTAGCCAGAGATGATCTTGAACTTCTAATCCTCCCAAGTTCTGGGATTACAGATGTGCCCAGTTTTCATTTAGGTTGTTTGTCTTTTTTCTTGAACAGTAAACATTCTTTATGGCCAGGTGCCTTTAATCCCAGCACTCAGGAGGCAGAGGCAGGTGGATCTCTGTGAGTTCAAGGCCAACCTGGTCTACAGAGTGAGTTCCAGGGCAGCCAAGGCTACACAGAGAAACCCTGTCTCGAAAAAAGCAAAACAAAATCTTTATGTACTTTGGATATAGGATATTTATTGCATAGATCAATAATGAATGAACATTATATAAATGTATCTGAGTATTTTCTACCTTTCTTTGGGTAGTCGTATCAATTTTTTGACATAGGTTTTAAATTTTTATTCAGAACTAATTTGTGGGTTAGGAGTTGAGCTCAGTAGAGTACTTGCCTTGTGTGTGCAATGCTAGCTATGGTTTTCACCCTCCTGCCCCCAATAACAAATTCCAGTCCACCTTGGAGTCCAGCCTGCCTACTGTTGTGCTTTGCTCTCAATAAGAAGCACTGTCTAACCTGAGACTGTAGGCGCATGCCCTTGTTTTCTTCTAAGAGTCTGTAGTTCAGCTCTTGGTTCATACATCATTTGGGGTTAATTTTTGTGCATAGTGAAAGAAGGGTCAATTCTGCATCACAGATATAAAGATGTCCAGCTGTCATAGAACTGTTCATTGAAATGACCATCCTTCAAAAATATTTATTGTGGCCGGGCGGTGGTGGCACATGCCTTTAATCCCAGCACTCGGGAGGCAGAGGTAGGCGGATCTCTGTGAGTTCGAGGCCAGCCTGGTCTCCAAAGCGAGTTCTAGGAAAGGCGCAAAGCTACACAGAGAAACCCTGTCTCGAAAAACAAAACAAAACAAAAAATATTTATTGTGTATATGTGTGCATGCATTTATGTGCACCATGTATGTATGTGCAGGTGCCACAGATGTCAGAGGGTGTTAGATACCCTGGAACAGTTGCAGGTGGTTATGAACCACCTGGTGTGGTGTTGGGAACTGAACCTGGGTCCTCTGGAAGAGCAGTAAGCTCTCTTAATTGCACAGCCTCTCCCTAGCCCAAAATGACCATTCTTACCAAGTTGCATTGGCAGCCAAGTCATATGGCTGGCCTTTTAAAGTGTCTCATTGTGCCCACTGAACTGAGGTCAGGAGCATGTCAGGAAGTTGCCTGTTGAATTGCTTAGGTGTTTACTGCATTTTCAGGCATCAGCAAAGCCTTGTGTCATCTGTGTCCCTGGCATTATGTATTACAGAGAGCAGCAGTGGGCACTGATCCTCAAACAGGGGCCGTTTTTCCTGTGAACATCTGGCAATATCTGGAGACATTTTTATTTTTCATGACTCAGTGCTGTGGATGTTGTGTAGCATCAGCCTCTGACAGAAAGTATGGGGTCCAGAAGTCAACAGTGGCATGGTATAGAGCCCAGAGTTTCAGGCAGAGGAGTGTTAAAAAGTGAGTGGGCTCTTTGCTCAAGTGAAAGCTATGTTTCTAGAGACCCAGCGCATCCTGCAGAGGCATTGTACCCAAGCTCAAGGAGCACTGGGTCTGTGGGCTCACAGACTGTCTACCCGGGAGCGCAATATTAACCGAAATATATTTATTAAGGAGTTTGTAATAAGATGTGCTCCACTTTGTTCCTAGTTCAGCGCTGTCCCTGCAGCTGCCACTGAACAGTGTCCTTGTGTTTTTCTTGTCTCACATGGGCGTCCACAGACAATTTCCCATGAATGGGTTTTCCAGAAGAATCTTTGTGCTTCAGATTCATAGCTTGCATGATTAAATAGTACTTTGCAGTCCTTAATTGTTGTTGATTTTTTTTTTTTTTTAATACTCTTTGGCTCTTAGGGGAACCTGCCACCCAACTACCAAACAAATCACATGGAGTCTTATTCTTTCTTATAAATGCCCGGCCTTAGCTTTGGCTTGTTTCTTGCCAGCTTTTCTTAACTTAAATTATCCCATCTACTTTTTGCCTCTGGGCTTTTAATGCTGTGGATAATGCTCGTTGTTAATAAAAAAGATTGATTGACCAGTAGCAGGGCAAGAATAGATTGGGCGAGAAACAGCCTGATGCAGAGAGAATGATGGAAGGAAGAAGGGCAGAGTCGGGAGAGTTTGGGGGAGACAGCAAGCTCCCACAGGACAAGCAGGGCATGTAGAAAATGAAGTAACAAGCCATGAGCCACGTGGCAAAGCATAAATAAAAATATGGGTTAACTTAAGTGTAAGAGTTAGCTAGTAACAAGCCTGAGCTATCAGCTGACCATTCGTAAATAATATTAAGCCTCGGAGTCATTTATTTGGGAAGCGGCTGCCCAGGTATTTGGGAATAAGCAGGTGGAACAGGAAACATCCAATTACACTTTTACCTTACTCTATTTCTGTATATCTTTTCCTTCCTTCTTTCTCTGTGACTTGCTCTGTAGCTAGGTGGCTGGCCCCAGATGTCCTTCTCCTTTTCTTGCTCCTCCCCCAGATTTTCCCTCCTATTTATTCTTTCTGCCTGCCACCCCTGCCTATCCTTTCTCCTGTCTTACTATAGACTGCTCAGCTTTTTGTTAGCCCAATCAGGTGTTTTAGACAGGCACAATAACACATCTTTGCATCATTGAACAGATATTCCACAGCATAAACAAATGTAACACATCTTTAAGTAATATTCTACAACACTTAATAGCTTCTGAGTGGTCTTTTGGTTTAAGTTTTAGCTTTATGAACTCAACCATAAGAAGCTCAGTAACCACACTCATATAAGTTCTGTTCTTTTGAGGGCTGCTGGAGGGGCACTTCATTTCTCACATACCTTTTTTCATTAAATTTCTTATGCTCTTATCATGTATGAATCCAAGATGATTTATAATGAGGCTGTGGAATTCTGAATATTTGTTCTTGGACTATTTCAACATGGCAGAGTTGAGATTTTTGGATGTCCTGAGACTCCACCCTCCCAAAAAACCCTCCCAAATAAACTCTAAGAAGAATTGAAAGGGAATTCAGTAACAAAAATTTAAATACCATTTTTAAAAGTTACTTTTCTTGAAAAGATGGTAACTATTGTAAGTACTGTGATTTGAATCCTGCTAAAACTTCATATTTTACAATTCTCCCTTATTATTTAAAAAAAGTGTTGCTGGCCTCAGATTCCTTGTATAGCTGATGGTAACCTAGAACTCTTGATCCTCCTGAGGCATGGTAGTGTAGTAATACAGGCTTGTACACCACACTCAGTCTTATGTGGTGCTGGGCATCAAACCTAGGGTGCTGTGCTTACAAGGCAGGCCATCCCTGAGCACACCCCAGTGCTAAAGCGTGCATTGACGTATGTAGTAGTGACGCAACCATCACTACTATCTGTGTTTCCAAAACTCTTTTACAGACTCGTTTATTTTTATCTTACGTGTATAAATGTCTTGTCTCCCTGTATCTGTGCACCACATCTATGCAGGAGCCTGTGGAGGCCAGAAGAGGGCACTGGATCCCCTGGAACTGCAGTTGCAGACAGTTGTGGGCCACCATGTGGGTGCTGGGAACCAAACAACAGGTCCTCTTTAAAAGCAACCAGTGTCCTCAACCACTCAGCTGTCCACCAGCCTGTTTCCACCAGAACCTTTTCCTCACCCCCAAAACAGGACTCCTGTAGCCCTTACGTATCCAGTCCCATCTTCCCGTTCAGACTGCAGTAGACGACCGCAGTAGACGACCGCAGTAGACGACCGCAGTAGACGACCACAGTAGACGACCGCAGTAGACGATCGCAGTAGACGACCGCAGTAGACGATCGCAGTAGACGACCGCAGTAGCCTCTGACTTCCTTCTGTGGATGTGGCCACTTAGTTTCCTGGAGTGCAGTTTGTCACCCATTGTCCTTTGGTGTCTGGCTTGTTTTCCTTAGTAGGTTTCAAGTTTATCCTGTGCTGCTGTACATCTTACTTCCATTTATTTTTATAATAAATATACACTGGTACTAAACTGCATTGGAAAGATTTCAAAATAGATGTTTGAATGTTTTTTTCTTTCTTTCTTGCTTCCCTTCTTCCTTCCTTGTGTGTGTCTGTGTGCGCATTCTCACACTCACTTAGCGTCGCACACTTGTGCAGGTTCTCTCTGCACCATATAGGTTCTGGGAACTAAACTCAGACTATTGGGCTTGGTAAGCAAGCACCTTTGCCTGCTGGACTGTGTTGTCAGCCCTAAAACGACATATTTTGATATTAACAAATTAAAGTGGCATGCCTTATTCTTTCTTTTTTTAAATCAGCTGTGGTATCTTTTGCAGCTGTGACTAGGCTCAAGATGTTAGGGAGGCTGATGGCCACCCGAGTTAGGATGGCCTGATACAGAGCCACAGCTACTAAGCCCCCCCATGGCTGCAGCTGGGCCGGCCTGTGGGCACCAGTGTCTGCCCAGCATGTGTCTGTCCCATCAGGCAGCTGGCACAGGCCTGGCAGGTTGGCAGGCTTCCTCTCCTGACTGTTGACAAGGGCTTGGCTAAGGGATAAAGAGAGAAACAAAGGATGTAATTGGACAATTCTCAGGAAGAAAAGAGTGAATGTTAGGGAAAACATTTGTGCCTCATTAGTAACCGAGGAAATGCAACTCAATCAAGGTGTTCCCCTTTCTCTTTTTCTAAATCACTAAAGCAGCAAACATTTAGGAATTCAAATGCTTTGCTGGCTATGGTGTTGGGCAACTGGGTCACTCATGTAGCTGTGCAGACTGGCGTAGTCATCCATTCCTTAGACCCTTGAGCTGCTCAGGCATGGTGATAGTTTCAGAGGAAATAATTCATTAATATGTGCTGTCAAGTAAAAATTAAGAATGGTTATTAAGACTGAAGCAACAGGCAAAACCAGAAAAATGCACACATTGGCAGTATAACTATAAAACACTCATTGAAGGTGTGGCAAATAGTTAGGGTTTTTTGGGTTTTGTTGTGTTCCATCTTCCCAAATTTTCTATTTCTGGAATGATGAAGCTGTTCCCCTGGGCCACCTGGCCCTGATTCTCGGGGATGCTAGTAACCTACTCTGTCCCAAGAGTGCCTCTACTCATGTGTCTGTGGTTCAGGATCTCAGAGTTCCTTGGGTAATGGGAGTGATTTTTGGCTCTTGCAGGGGCACTGAGGACATCACCTCTCCACACGGCATCCCACTGGACCTGCTGGACCGGGTGATGATCATCAGGACCATGCTGTATACACCACAGGAGATGAAGCAGGTAAGCCTCTGGAGGCCCCCCCCCCCTCCCCGCCTGGCTTTTGCTCACCAGTCTGTGAAAGTCACAGTGTCCTTGTGACTCTGAAAGAGCGGGTCATTCTGAGTGGACATTCTTGGATGGGTTAGAACCTCTGCTCTCTGTGGGTCTGGTCCATCTATCTACTCTTGATGAGCTTGAGGAAAAGGGAAAAGAAAACATGGACTTAGCAGGGCAGTGGTGGCTCACGCCTTTAATTCCAGCACTCGGGAGGCAGAGCCAGGTGGATCTCTGTGAGTTCAAGGCCAGCCTGGTCTACAGAGCGAGATTCAGGACAGGCACCAAAGCTACACAGAGAAACCCTGTCTCAAAAAAAGAAAAGAAAAGAAAACATGGACTTAATGACCACCAGATGCTATCAGCCTGCAGAAGGGCAAGTATGATGTAGTTGCCTGATATAGTAATGCACACCTGCCATGCCAACAGCATGATGAGGCAGGAGGATCACAATTTTGAGGTGTAGTAAGATCCTGTCTCAGAAGGAAACCACAGCCTGGCAGTGGTGGCGCACACCTTTGATCCCAGCACTTGGGAGGCAGAGGCAGGCAGGCAGGCGAATCTCTCTTGAGTTCAAGGCCAGCCTGGTCTAGAGTTCCAGGACAGTACCATTTAGGCATTCCTAAGTGGGCCTGGACTGTGTAAGAAACTAGCCAAGCATGAACCTAGGAGCCACCCAGTAAGCAGCACACCTCCATGTCTCTGCTTCAGTTTCTGCCTCCAGGCTCCTCCTTGAGTTCCTGGCCTGGCTTCCCTGGACGCTGTACTGTAATCTATGAGATGTGTAGACCTTTCCTCCCAAGTCGATTTGGTCAGTGTCTTATCACAAACCAGAACAGCCCTTTCTCTGGGAAATGAGAGACCTACCTTTGGTTTTGAGGCATTGTCACTCAGGTTCCATTGAGATGGTGACAAAGAAGACCGTCTCCTTGCTTTGCAAAATTATCACATGCATTCTGTGAGATTGTGATGGGACAGGGCACCATCATCCTCAGCTGCTTCATGGCCAGCCTCTAGGGTCTTTGACGACAGCTTTGTGATAACTAAGTGGTGGAGCTGGCCTCCTCCGGAGAAGCTCACCTTGGAGCTCCAGGTGAAGCTCCTCTGGAGCGCTCTGCCTCCCCTCGTACTGGTGCTGTGACGGACAGGCCTGCTCAGGTTAGTCTCCAGGCTTCTCCCAGTGGCTTCCTGTCTGGGTCTCGCTTTGGCCTTAGTGGCTCCAGGGGTCCCCTCAGCCTTTTGCTGGAGTTAAGGCAGGTTTTACATAGACAAACTCAACTTAATGGGTGCAGGGTGCCCCTGGTGCTGACACCTCACAAACATCCCTGCAGGTTATTAAATGATTAAAGATCTCTTCCATGAGCCGCCTGTTCCCAAGCAGCTGAGGTAGGAGCGCCCACAATTGCTCCGGCCTGTTCTAGAGACAGTGAGAGCAGATATCCCTGGTATTATGGAAGGAAGCCAAGCCACAGAGCCAGCCAGCAAAGAGATGATGCTGGCCCTCCCCTTGCCAGCCTCTGCCCTTCAGTCTTTGTATCTCTCTGGAGTTGGCAGACCTGGGGATGGGACCTAGGACCCAATGCATGCTGAGAACATGCCCTGCCACTGATGTACATACATCCCAGTCCCTCTTGCCGTTTCAGAAGACTCCTGAGCAGCCATTTTTGCTGTTGGCCCGAGGTCACGAGTCCTTGAGTCGTGTAGCTGGCTGCTGGAGCAGAGCAGGGGGCATCCTTCCTAGCTTTCTTTCCATAGCTCTTGAGCTCATCTGGTAACTGCCCTGGGCTCCTCTGCTGTTGGACCTGATAGCTGAGCCTGTGTGTATATATGCTCACATCCTGACCCCTGAGGAGCACAGCAGACGGGTTTGTGGCCTCTGTGGTGTTTGGGACATGTTTGAACTAGTCAAGAGGTTTTCCCCAGTTCTCCTCTTACGGCCTTTTCTGGATAAAGGCAGCACTAGCAGTGGTGGCCCGTGAAGTGGCCACCTCTTAAGAATGCATGCCAGCCTGCTGACCTCAGCTCCAGGCTGCTCACGGTGACAGTGATGACTGCTGACCCCGGCAGAGTCTTGGGTTGTCAGGCTCAGCCGTCTCAAGCTTCCACACACCTTTTCCTCTCTCTAGAGTCTGGTGCTAGGACTCAGTGTCTTCCAGTTCCTATGCCTCTACGCTGGCTGTTTTTACGGCTTTAATTTAAACAACGGCTCCTTGATATCTTGTTTACGAAGCTGCCAGAGTGAAAAATTCCTGTATTATATGAGGCTCGAAGTCCTCGAGTTATCTTGGCCCCGCAACACACAACATCATTATCCCGCTGGCCCTTATCACTCAGTGCTGCTGCGCCCGTGGGACCCCGTGCCACTGCTGCGGCATCTCAGCGGCTGCCGGCCGCCCCTCCAGCCTCCCCAGGAGCCTCAGTGCAACAAGCATTAGGCGCTTGATAGATTAGATATTTCAGCGATGTTAGGAGGCTGCTAAATCTCTTCAAGTAACTTTTTTGATTTATTTAACCATAGTATTTATCAAGCAAATAAAAAATGTCTTCTCTTGCTTGAGTGCTCATGAGTGATAGTGCCCAAGCTGGCAGGAGAGGTCGGAGCCTTGCGGGCAAAGCTAGGAGTGGTCCTAGTTTTCTGTAGCCATGGAGAGGGCCAGAGGAAGCTGTGAGCTGCACTGGACATGGGGGTCCCCCTGGTGTGACGTCATTCGGGTGGACTGTGGTTAGGGCGGGTTATCCCCAAAGATGCAGGCCAGCAGGGCTGGTGGCCATCAGCAGGGCAGACACTGAACACAGGTGAGACACTTAACCGTGGTTTTTCTCCAAAGATCATTAAGATCCGAGCCCAGACAGAAGGCATCAACATCAGCGAGGAGGCGCTCAACCACCTGGGAGAGATTGGCACTAAGACTACACTCAGGTATGGTAATCCAGGTAGCAGCCTGCTGGAACCCTTCTGCTGTGCCAAGGGCCTTCTGCAGGCATGAGTTCAAAGTGCCAAGGATCTAGAAATGAGTTTTAGAACTCAGTCTCCACAAGCCCCGGGCGGAGCCCACACCACTCTATTTCAATTTCCCAGTAGAGCAGGGCCTGCCCTATCACCTTACCCTGGGTGTATTCCAGGTATCTGGTGGACGCAGCCTGGGGATCAGCGCATGTGCTGTGTTCTCCAGGCTGTTCTGTCAGGGCTCAGAGGCGGTGACTGGAGAAGACAGGAGGTAGTTCTTCAGGCCCTGAGCCCTCCTGTGCCCCTTGAGTATGTTGCTCTTGTTCCTGAAGTAAAGGAAGACATTGTCAGCTGTTTGATTGAACGTTCAGTGATGGAGTTTTCACATCTTGGGCCAGCATGAGCTTTTGGTTGCTGGTTGATTTCTCTGCATGTTCAAAGTCCCCATCTAAGTTGGCACTGTCTGCCCTGGCAGGGTGTGTGTGCATCATAGTGTTAGTCTGTCAGCAGAAATGGAGTCACCTCCTTGGCAGTTTCGAGAAGAGCACTGTGTCTGTCCCCTGCCTCCTGGTGTCCCTGTCTCAGTTGTGATGGGCAGTGGAAGTTCCCCTTTGCTGTCCTCACCCTGGGCTCACTGCAGCTGGACTGCTGCAGCCATGCGGCAGTGCCCATGCTGCCTGCTGATTTGGGGCTCCCTTCAGTGGCCCCATCTTGACCACTGTGCTGTGCTGTAGGTATTCGGTGCAGCTGCTGACCCCAGCCAACCTGCTGGCAAAGATCAACGGGAAGGACAGCATTGAGAAGGAGCACGTGGAAGAGATCAGCGAACTCTTCTATGATGCCAAGTCCTCTGCCAAGATTCTGGCTGACCAGCAGGACAAGTACATGAAGTAACATTGGGTTTTGAGGTGCACCCAGAGGACAGACCCCACACCGTGGACAGAGCTGGAGTCAAGCATGCTTTACAGTGTTGCTGGCTCTGTGTGGAAACATTCTTTCTGAGTTAGGAAACCTCCGTGGCTGCTTGGAAGGAACCCCTTCCCACTTGGCTTGTTTTCTAATAAAACTGAATAGGTTATTTTGATGATACCTCTCTTTTTATGTTTGTACTTACTGTGTGTGTGTGTGTGTGTGTGTGTGTGTGTGTGTGTGTGTGTGTGTGTAGTTGGCAAGTGCCTGTGGGGGCCAAAAGATGGCATCAGAGCCCCTGGAGCTGGAGTTACTATGGGAGGTTCTGAGTTCTATCCCCAGCACAAAACAAGGTTATTTATGCGTGGCACATACACAGGAATTACAGAAGCAGTTTAGATTTACAGCTACTGCGGTGGCGTCAGTGCAGGGCGTTGCCGGGACAGCAGTCTGCAGTAGGGCAGCACGTTTGTCAGTGTTGAGAGCGCTGTTGGGATGTCACACCTCGTCTTCCTCTCAGATCTGGACAGTGACGGGGGTGACCCTTGGGCATTCAGAGCCACACAAGTCTGCAGCCCATCTTGGCAGGTACTTTCAGTAGGACACTTCTACTGTGACCCTCAGCTCCTGGCCAAGGCTGCCATGTCTGGGACATTGTTCATGCTTCCTGTTCTGTGCTGGGCTCTTTTGAGTGAAGTCGCTCTGTGCTGACCACACGGGTTTAGAACAGCTGTGCCTCTTCCGGGCTGTAGGTTATCATGGTTTGGGAGTCTGCATGAGGACCATCTCACTGTTTACCTGCTTAGTTACCGTCAGTGTAGACTCATGGGTAGGTAGTTTGCACATTGGATACCTTGTCTTGAGTTAGTCTTGCTATGTAAACCAGGCTGGTTTTGAGTTTGGGGCAATCCTCCTGCCTCTGCTTTCTGAGTACTGAGATTATAAGTGTCATCCTCGGTGTGACATCATTTTGTCCTCATGAGGCCAAATCGCCTGCCCAGCCAGCAGGAGAAATTAGATTTGCGTTCAGCTTGGCTAGAGCCTGCGCTGGGAACTGTGTGTCTGGACTTGGTACCCAGCAGTAGCTGAGGATCTGACCTTGAGCAGGTGAGGCTGCAGGGTAGACTGAGGCAGGTGACGGCTGAGTTGAAACCTTCACAGCACCTGATCAGGATAGAAACAGTGGCAGTAGTGGTGGGTTGGGGATGTTCTTGTGCAGCCCCCGGCACCTGCTCTCCAGAGCTTTCAGTGAGGACTTGTTTTTCCTAGCCACAGCCCCTGGACCCTGCTACTTCTCCCTCATCTGAGCTGTGACTGTGCCTGAGGAGGGGGGGCCATTCTCTGATAGGAGGGAGATGGCCTGGCTAGGTGGCAAGGTTTGGTTATTTTAATTTTCCTCTCTTTTCTCCAGCAAGGCCTGTGATTATTACATTAATCTTACAGGCGAAGTTTTTATGGCCCATCCCTCGCAGACTGTGAGAAGTTTCTCCATCCATTCCCAGGCGGGCAGCAGACCCTGGTGGGGAGAAAGTATTTGTTACATCTTATCAGGCTGACACACAATCTAACAACAATTACAGCAGCCCCATTTTTCCCACTAGTTCAGCTCCAGCTTGAAAAATTGTTGTAATATTAAAGTCAGGCAGGATGGGGGCTGGTCACAGGAGGTGGCCACTGTCCCAGCTCCGGGCCAGGCTCCTGGAAGCCACTCCTTGAGCTGCTTGGTGGCTGAGTAGAAGCTTCTGCCCCTCATTCCAGGTGCAGTGCCGGTCCCCAAGTGGCCTCCAGGCGAATGGTTGTCCTCAGCTTTGCAGACACCTCACCTCTTCAGGTTGCCTTCAACCCTAGGCTGATTCAGAGAATATCTGGGTTTTAAGAAAGAACAGAACTTGCTTTCTCACACCAAAAAGTGATGGGTCAACAAGCCTTAGCTAAGAAAATGGAGTTGCAGGCAGAGGGTGGGAGTTACAGCCTGTAGACCCTGAGTCGGCCCTGGTTGGGCAGCTGGCCATGTCTGAAAAGGCCCTGCCAAGCCGGAGTGAGGCTCTGAGGCCACAGGCACGATGTGACTAGGGTTCAGAGAAGAATGCCCAGTTCTTGGCTCTTGTTGCTAGGGGAGGTCAGAGTTTGTGAAACAGGCGCAAGCTTAGGTCCAGCCTTCTGCGTTTGGATGCATTCCTGGTTGTTCTCTGGTTTCCAGAAATGGCCCCGCCAGCTCCTAGAAAGGAGCTATGGTATGACCTAGTCTCAGCCAGACAAGTCAGCTCTCCTTTGGGATCCTGAGAGATACACACTGTTCTCCCATCCCAGGTTGCAAGTGACCTGGGGATGATGCGGGTGACCTGCGGCAGGGCCCGGCAGTGGGAAATGCGGGCTGGCAGGGCTGGCAGTCGCCCGCTGGCCCTGTCGCCCTCCCCGTCAGTCGGCGCCGCGCGGTGATTAATGGCCGGGCGAGGCGCGCGTGCGGCCGTCAGCGCGATGGATGTGGCTGTCAGGCCGAGCGTCCGCGCTGACCCCCGGCCCCAGCCCGCGCGATCAATGGGCGGCGCGCGGCGGGCGAAGGCTGGGCCGGCGCGATAAGATGGGCCGATGCGCGCCCGCCGATTGCCCGCTCCGTCACCCGCCGTCACCGGCGCCGTCACGCCGCCCGCGCGCTGGTCGGCGCCGTCAGCATGCGTGATTAATGGGGACGCGGGCGGGAGGTGCGGCCCAGAACCTTGCAAAGGCTTGCGGACCCTGAGTGGCACGGCCCGAAGCGCCCCCGTGTGGCCACACACGCAGCCTCCGGGTAGAGAAAGCCTGTGGGAGCGCTTAGGTGCGGGAGGAGCACATAAAAGGAGGCATCCATCCATCCGTCTGTCCATCCATTCGTTCGTCCGTCCATCCATCCATCCATCCATCCATCCATCCATCCATCCATCCATCCATCCATCCATCCATCCATCCATCCATCCATCATCTATTTCTATCTTCGGTCATCTATCTATCTATCTATCTATCTATCTATCTATCTATCTATCTATCTCATATATCCATCCATCCATCTATCATCCATCCATCCATCTAAGGCAGGGTCTCACTATAAAGGCTTGGCTGACCTGGAACTCTCCTTGTAGAGCAGGTGGCCTCAAACTCACAGAGATCCCTCTGCCTCTGGAGTGCTGGGATAGAAGTGTGCTCTACTCCCACCCTGATATGTTTTTTGAACGGATAATTCTGTGGTAATTCTGAATTGGAGCAAAATTTGAATGTATCAAAGGGGTATGCGATGATGGTGTGTTTCACCTCTTGTTCCCTCTGTGCAAGCCACTTCAACACTCAGCCCATTTCCTGGTGAGCTAGAGATGGAAGAGATTAGGGAAGGAAGGTGCTGTCCATCCCAGGTTCAACCTCCTTTGCACTTCACAATGGGCGGTTGTTCCCTCATCCCAAGTGATGGGAGAATTCCTATCCTTGCCTAGAGTTTCAGATCTGCTTGTATTCTCTTTTAAACCTCCATACAGTAAAATCCCAAAGCCATAAGTGGGCCATTGTGAGCTCTGACAAAGGAAATCTACCTCACTCCTATGAAGGAGGTTATTCACTAAAAAATTCCATAACCTCCCCCACCCTGCACCCACACAAAGGCACACCAGCATTGGGCCGTTGCTAAAGTCCCTTCTCTAGGGGAGAATAAATGATGTCTACCCACTTTCTCCTAGGGTCCCATTGACAAACTAAACTCCACCCAAGACCTTGAATTTATTGGTCTTACAGAGCAAAGCGTAGGGATCATAGGCAGGGGTGTAGGTACCTTAAAGCAGCCACACTGGAAATGTGCACCAGCAGAGATGGTAACTCCTCCCATGGCGTTATAGATGGAGCCTCCTCCCTCTTTCCCACCCATGTCCTCTAGTGCCTCTCAGAGCTCCTGAGGCCCACAGGGTAGAATTAGAGCAAGATTACATACAACTTGTTGGGAGCAATGGCTGAGGGTCCCAGGAGCTTCCTGGCCCCTTGGAAAAGGGAAGGTCAACCATCAACAAGCCTATTTGTGATGACCTTTATCCAGCAGGTCCAGACAAACTCCTTAAGATGGAGGCAGTTTTTCTTGGAGGAGTCTTGTACAACAGTTGTGTGGTGGTTTGAAAAAAAAAAAATGGCCCCCAAAGGGAGTGGCCCTAATGGGAGGTGTGGCCTTGTTGGAGTAGGTACAGTCTTGTTAGAGGCAGGGCTTTGAAATCTCATATATGCTCAAACCAGCCCCAGTGAGCCAGACCACTGCCTGCCTACCAAGATGTAGAATCCTCCAGCACCATGTCTGCCTGCACACTGTCATACTCCCAACCGCCATGCTCCCCACCATGATGATAATGGACCAAACCTCTGAAACCGTAAGCCACCATCTCAACTAGATGTTTTCCTTTATAAGAGTTGCCATGGTCACGGTGTCTCTTTGCAGCAATAGGAACCCTAAGACAAACTGTTTCTGGCCCACATGAGTGCTGTGGTTGAAAGGGTTCCTCCTTTTTGAGTTGGCTCTTTTCATTCAGGGCAGTATATGGCTATCACACCATCTACTTATCAGGTGACTGATCATGGTTGTTTGGGCTCTCCCATTTCCCATGGTCTTCGTTAAGGTTTTTCTTGCTGTGGAGACACCATGACCACAGCAATTCTTATAACGAAAACATTTAATTGGGGTGGCTTGCTTAGTTTCAAAGGTTCAATCCATTATCGTCATGATGGGGAGCATGGAGGCATGGAGGCAGACAGTGCTGGAGCTGAGAGCTACATCTTGACCAGAAGACGGCAGGAAGTCTACAGACAGTCCCACTGGGGGAAGCT